GTATAGGTACTAGACAGAGTTAGAATAATTGTCCCAAAGAATTATTCACTTAAAACTGTTGGAAATATACTGGTAATACATAGATTTGTCTGAAAACTCATTCTGATTAGGACTTACATATTTATTGCAAGACTGCCTTGTAAGAATCTGGAATTCTCTGACAGTCAGTGCTTACAAGCAAGTATGCCTTGCAAAAGTATACTTCCTTACCAAGTCAGTGCTGTACGTTCTGTGTGACAGCCCAATGGCTAGAACATGGAGTCTGGAGTCAGGTGGCATTGGGCCTTTCATTTTGTCTCTCTTCAGCTGCAGATGCTCTTAAAGTCTGCACACCTCTAAGGCTGCCTTAACAGTAAACTACTGGGTGGTCTGCTTTGGGGCATCACCTTACTGCAGCCTTACCTCCAGGGAAGCATGTTAAATGCATTGTGTTGGATGAAATTTAGATTAGAAGAAATTCTTTACTCAGAGGGCGGTGAGGCGCTGGCACAGCTGCCCAGAGAAGCTGTGGTGCCCCATCCCTGAAGGCACTCAAGGCCAGGTTGGATGTGGCCCTGGACAGCTGAGCTGGTGGGAGGCAGCCCTGCCCACAACAGGGCATTGGGTCTAGGTGGGCTTTAATGTCCTTTCCAACCCAAACCATTCTATGTTCAATGAACGTGCTCTCGTGATTTGCAGGACAGTGCTGGAAGTGGTGGGTAGTGATTTCAAGTGACTTAAAATATGGGATATTGATGTATGCTGCCTTGAAACATAACACCGGACATTCTTCATGGGATTAATCAAGATACAGAATAAAAGCCTGTTACACCTCATACTGCATTCAGGTTTTAGCTGAACACTGTGCAGCCTGTGTTGCAGTGGGATTAAAGAAATGGGAATGCAGTCTGTAAAAAGAATGCAAAAAGCACTATCTTTATGAACTTGTCAAGAGTGATTCCAGCTGACTGAAGCTTTACAGATTTGGTATTTATCCTCCTGAAGCCTACTGCTCTCCCTCAACGGTTCCTGGTGGGGAAGGGACATGACTTTCTCTGGTAGCAAATTAAGCAGTTCCCAGGCATGGAGGCCAACTGGCACAGGCTGCCTCACTGGTGGAGCAGTAAACAAACACAGCCTCCAGAGGAGGGTGCCTGAATGCAAATCCTCTGGCAGTAATGGGCTGTGGGATGCTCTAACACCTAGCCTGTGCCTGGGGATTGCTTGGGAGACAGCTTACTGGTACAGACCAGAAGCATGCTGGCAACTGCACTCCAAATCCCATAGCAGCTGAATTCGTGCTCCTCAGAACACTCAGACACAGTCTGATTCCCTGAGATGGAGCCTGAGGCTTTACAGTAAGGATGATGGAGTACTGGAACAGGTTGCTTTTGTTCTGCAGAGATATTCAAGACCAGTCTGGATGCCTACCTGTGTGACCTATTGTAGGGAGCAAGCTTTAGCAGGGGGTTGGACTCAATGACCTCTCAAGGTCCCTTCCAATAATCTGTAATACTGATTATGTTTGGTGAGGAACCATTTAAAATGTTTCAAATACTCATTTTAAGTGAGCTTTTAACTCTTGAAAGATACAGATTTATAGCTTGGTCCTGGATTTCTGGTATTTCTCTTTTTAGTACAGCCAACCTTTTAATGAGTCATAGAAACTCGTAAAACATCCTGAAGAAGTCTACTGGTTTCTGGATTATTTTTGAGACTTTCTGGGCAAATTTAGAGGCAGATACTTAAATATGCTATGAGTATTCTATGTCATTGTTAACATGCAAAAGCTCTCTTCAGTGTCTATTCTCTACAGCAGCTATTAGTGCCTGTTACCATTCTTATTTAGAAGATGATACGATTGTAAAGCTACCTTTAGAGGGCATTAATTTGGGGCACTGGATAGCATTTTATTTGTAGCTGTCATTAATACCTGTAGATAAAAATAGTTGCTGATCTGATTACATATATTAATTTGTTAATTGCCACACATTACAGACTGATAATTCCTACTTCCTGCTGCTCACTAAATTCATTTGTTGCACCCTGTTAGACTAGCTAAAAAGGAATGGATAATCCACCATAAACTTTATAATCTGTTTGTAATCACCCAGAACATGGAAAATAACTGAACTGTTCTTACCTTTAGTTTATTCTCTTTCTGATTCTGATAGAAATGTGACTGCAAATCTTGCCTTTACTCTGGCCATGAGAGGAAAAGGTTCTGTTTTTTGTTGTTTGTGGGGTTTTTTTTTACCCTCATCAAGTATCATTTTCTTTCCCACAAGAAAATATACCTGACATAAAAAAAATAAAATAAAATAAAATAAAAATTCAACTATAACCTGAATAAAATGTTTCTCTTTTACTCTAAGTTACTCATTCATTCAAAAATCTCTATATTTGGATTGTTCGTTACTTACAGAACTAATTTAGATCCCTTCAAGTCCACAAAAGGTCAGATAAAAACTTCTGTCAAAGCCCTGATAACCTGCATGTGTTGCTTTGTCCTTTTTATGTTTTGTTTTTGTTTTTTTTTTCAAATCATTATGATAAAAGAGAGAGGTCCTAAGAGGAGCCCCTGAGGAGCCTGTGGACGCTCTGTTGTAGGACATTATCTTACTTTTTGTGGCTGAATGATGTCTGCATGTTTCAAAAACTAAAATTTACAGAAAATTAGTGCATAAAATCGTGCTGAGGCAATAACAAGAAGTCACAGTAGGAAGAAAATGGCTGCTTTTATTGCAGCATATTCTTTACAGGCCTTATGGTACCCAACTGTTGGGACAGGCACGGAGCACTAGATGAGGTGGTATCACTGTTTGTATAGCATTGCACCTATTAACAAACAAAAAAACAGACTAAATATGAATTAATACAAGCATTGGAAGATCCAAAGAAAGTGATGTAATAAAAACAAAGCTAAAGAAACAAGCACTAAAATACATTGTTATTCTTCAGCTATGCTATATCCGATCATCAGCTGAAACTCTTCTTTGCACTTCCTCATTGTTTCAGCATTACTACTAAACAGTCTCCATGTTGTGACACCCTATTCTAGTGCTACTCCAAAATATTGCAAAATATTGCATATTAATGTCAATGTAGAGCAACAGTTAGGTCATGGCATGAAGTGGTAATTGAGCACCCAGTGAAGTGGTGTGGTTGGCCCAGGGAGCACAGACACATCGTTTGCTCCTGTGCTTCCCACCTGACCAGAAAGGGAGGACCCACGATGGAACCACCCTGGGCTGATATAAGAGCCAGCCACTAAAGTGAGAAGTTTTCTTAGACTTATGCTATTTCCTAAGAAGGAATGCTGTGAGAGTTCCTTCACCAGTTTGGGTCAGTTCAACTCTTCTTTCTATATGTGACTATTAGCCTACCTGTGAACACTTTACCTGATGTAGCCAATAACCTGTCAGAAGTGATTTTGTTTCTTTGTCAGCAGAATATAAATATAGTGACAAGAGACATAAAATTACGTGGCAAATAAGAATAATGATTAGAGGACTCTATTTTTAGATTTTTTATCTCTATTTGAATTACCACTGAACCACCTCCTCCAAAACTGAAAGTCCAGAAATCCTTGATTCAGAGAACATCAACTAACATTAAAACTTACAGCATGCTCTCTGTTTCCCATCTAATTTCAAAGCAGATAGGAGGTTTCAATGGCTGGTGGTAAGTGGCTTGGTTTAAGTCTGTGTCATCTGTGCTTTGTTGCAGTTTTTAGTTCACGGTCTGCTCCGGGAGAGCTAAGTAAAGAAGACAGCATGTAGCTGAAACATTGTGCTTTTAATTGCAGCTAATGGACAATTAACTGCTGAGCTTTAACAATGGAAGTAGTGGATGATGGGGAAAGTACAGTGACTATAAAATCAAAGAAAGAGTATTAAAAATGTTTGGTTTTGGTTTTTTATAGAGTGAGTTGGAGCAGGCACAACTTTCTCTTTACATTTTAGGAAATTTGATCTGAATTGATCTTTTACTCACAGAAAAAAATTAAACACCACATGTATTTAAATGATCAGAAACTTAGTAGCCTTCATAAGTTACTGTATATTTTCATGTTCACGTAAATTGTTGTTGACTCAACATAAAAAAAAAACCTTCATGATCTATTATTAAAAACAGGCAAGGGATAGAAAAATAGTGTCTTTGATGCAAGAAAATCTGACTGAAAATAGAACAGATGTGAAAGGCATTCAACACAGAAGCAGTAGGATATATTTTCTAATCTTGAATAGGTACCTGATGGAAATTACCTACTGATGAAGTGGTGCCAGACAGAAGAGAAGATCTGAGGATTAGCACTGCACCTGGAGGATCGGTGAAAGAGTGATATGAAAATACAGGGCAAAGGAAAGGAGAGAGGAGGCTGTGCAGACAACTTGATGTTTACAGACACCTAATAAATGAGATGACATGGAGAAGAGATGCTTGTGTGACTTGGATGACCCAAAACACATATGTCAAAAGGTCAGAATGGAGAAAGAGATCACCAGTGAATGAAGAGCACAGCTGAAAAACAAGTTTAAATTACTGAAGAGCATGAGGAAAAAAAAAAAAAAAAAAAAAGGTAGAAATAGAAGCTTTGTTTCTGGGAAGAAAGGGAGTTCGGTTTCTGGGAAGAGGTGGGAAGTGGAAACACCATCAGGGAATGCAACAGGATGGATAACAAAGCAGTACAGGAATCTGTGAACTAGGATCTGGAGATCTGAAAGTGTTGGTTGGAGGGACATCTGAAAGTCACCTTGTTCACCTACTGTATTGAAGCAGAACTTTTCAACAACTGATAAAGTCAGCAATGAGTTTGTCTAGCCAAGTTTTGAAAACCTCCAAGAATGGAGTTTGCACAATTTCACAGCTCCAGTCCTGCACTACCAGTGAAGACATTTATAATGATGCCCAACTGGAACTTCCCATGCTGCACATGGCTGCTGTTGCCCTTTGCAGTATCATCCACCAAGTTGTTTTGGTGTTTCGTTTTTTTTTTTTTTTTTTTATTGCTCTGTCATCTTTGTACTTCCCCTTCAAATGGTTGTAGTCCACTATCAGATCATATCATGTTTTTTTCTTTACAAAACCAAGCAGAGTGCTTCTCGCATATGTGGGGAACTATGCCCTAGGCTCCTTTCCATCTTCATGCCCCCCTGCCATGGTTTCTCAACAGCCAGGAAGTGGAGTGGGTGAAACAAAACACCATATTCTAGGTACTGCTTAACCAGCACCAACTAAAGGGGAATAACAACCTGCCTTCATGTGCTAGCCATTCACTTCTTAATGCAGCCCAGTTGGTTACTGTTGTTTCTCCTGCGGAGACAACTTGGCATCCTCTGTCACCCCCAGATGGCATTTCAGTGATTTTAAAATCTGGAAAGGAAGAGCAGAAGATTAATATCAGTGCCAGGAAGAGAGAGGTCTACGTGAGTGAAGTCTCCTTTTTAAGTAGAATGGATTGATGTGTCACAAGAATGGGTCTGGAGGGGAAAAAAAAGAAAAAAAAAACACAGACCTCCTCCATGAAGTAAGGTAAGACATTAGATGGGAAGCATCTCTTCATCAGCTTCTAAAACAAATAACACTTGCAGACTCTTTCATAGATTTCCAAAGAGTTACAGTGGCAAGGTGTGCTAGAATCACTGGTTAATTTAGATTGTCATAGCTTGCGATGTGGAATAAGGGGTGATATTCCTCATCATGACATCATGTAGTGCACTGGGAGTTAGAGAGTTAAAGCTCCAGATCTGTGGATTGTCAATAGTTCCAGGTACCTTTCTCAGAAGTGAAGAAGTCCAGCTTCCAGAAGACTTCACTGTTCTTTTTTGGCTCTCCTTTTTCTGCTCATCTCTGCGGTGTGTGCTCTTGTGCTCTCCAGCCATCTCACCTTCAACATTAGAGTAAGGCCTTTGGTTTTGGACACACTCTCTCTCCTTCATTTAATCCATTAGCTTCAGTTCCAATTATATTGTAATGTATTGTGTTATCTTGCATTCTGTGCTCATATTTAGTAAATTAGTTTTTTCCCTTAGCTTACTGCCACTGTTGTTTTTAGGCTCATCTCACTACCTTCCCCTTTCCCAGGGAGTGGGTCCCCTCATCCTGTTATTCATGGAAGCAGGCCAAATTGGGCTGGAATCATGACAGATTGGAAAGGAGTTTCATTGGTCAAGTTGTCTGTAGCATGGTCAAAGCAGAGACAAATCTGAAGGTACATTACATTGCTCAGGACCTTGTCCAGCTGAGTTTTTAATAGCATCAACAATGGAGATTTTGGAACTTGCACATGCAATTGACTTTAGCATGTGACTACTCTCTCATGAAAGCATCTTTTCTAAGACTGGGACAAAACTTCTGTTGTTGTGATTTAGAATAATTGCTTCCTACTTCTTCACTGTGTACTAAGAAATGATCCCCATCACCCTACACGAGAATAAAGCAGAACCCCCATTAGGTTTCCTTTACCCAGGTTGAAGAAACATGGCTTCATCACCTCCTTGAATGTGATGTGTCCCTGCCTTGTGGTCATCATGGTGGCCCTTGATTCCATTATGTTCATATCCTTCTGTTGCTGGGCAGACCACAACTGAACATACGCACAAGATGTGGTCTCATATTTACAAAATAATGAAGAAAAATCACTTAAATGTGACTTGCTGGCTACACCATTCCTAGTACAACAAAGGATGTGGTTAGCCTTTATCACCACAAGGATATAGGGAAGTCTCTTTAGTCCTTTGAGAGGAAAGGCTGTGGTATATGAAAGCAATAAAATCAAACAGATCTTAAAAGGTGCTTTTTTTAGAGGAGAGTTTTGGTTATAAGTGCTCAGTCACAGTCATTGAACAGTTTTTCATGCAGAGGAATTTCACTGCCAGTGAACTCCACTTAAATGTTGGGTGATGTGGCTCAGCTTGGATTTAAAATAAAAGCTCTAAATCTGTGTTGTGTGTTAGTTACAATGCAATGTTGCTGTACATATACTATTTCACATCATGGAAGCAGCCTGGCTACAGCAATATGCAGCACAAGATTAGTTTGCTTATGAACTTCAACCTGACGTTTAGAAATTGCGCAGCAGGAGAGCAGCAACATGGAGATTCGTGTTGATTTCCATACTTGGCAGAAGTACAGAGGAAGAAGAAAATTAGAAAAATAAAGACACTGTGTTGGGAAGAAAAACTAAAATTAAATCAGAACAACTTTATTCAATACCCTTACGTTTGATTTTCTGTAGATTTGAAGTATATAGTTTGGTAATTGCATGGGGAATTGGAAAATAAAACACAGATTGAGGTTAAACAAATAAATGTTTCAGAAAATGTGTTCTTTACTCTCTGATTTACTAGGCCTTGTCTGTACTCCCTTCAGACTAAAAGAAATAGTGCCAGACACTGTTCAGCTGCAATTCCAATAAAATCCTTGAGAATGCTGTTCTGAGATGGCAGACATAGTCAGTACCTTTGCAGTACCTTTACTCACATGTATGTTGTTTTCCCTTTGTCCATTGGTCCAAATGTGATCAATACATTTTCAAATACAAGTACCCAACTTAGAGGAAAGTCTTTAAGCACAGCATCCTGCAATTTAAGCTCTTACATTTCATTAGATGACTGTTTCTCCACTCCATAAAATCATACATTTAAATATTTCTAGTCCTGTCTTGCAGTGTTGATGCTTCTCAAGTGTCTGAAATCAACACATTTTACGCTGCTTTTGCCATAATCATTGAAGAAAATAGTAACTAATACTGATTGGAAGTGCAGGCCCCAGAAAGATTCCATCCTAGTACTATTCTTTTTCTCTCTTTTACTAACCACTATGACATAAATGTATAAGAAGAGGTAATCGTGAGAGGGGGGAAAAAAGAACTGTGTAGCTAATCATAGAGTCATCAAGGTTGGAAAAGACCACTAAGATCACCCAGTCCAGCCGTCAGCCCATCCCCACCTACCACATCCACATGGTTCTTGAACACCTCTGGGGATGATGACTCTACCACCTTCCTGGGCAGCCTGTGCCACTGCCTTACCAGAAGAAATTCTTCCTCATATCCAACCTCAGCTAAGGGGCAGTGCTGGAAGGATAACATGGATCTGTGAAGCGATCATAATGAAATTCAAACTGAGAATTTTGAGTCAGGATTCTGGCCACTGGAAGAATGTTATTTTGGAACTGCTGTTCAGTAAAGTAATAGGAGAAGGGCAAAAAAAAAATAAAAAATAAAAAATAAATTAAATAGTACTGTGCAGTTTGGGTAGTAGAAATCTGGATTTACTGTAACATTAGAGACACCTGAAACTGAAGCTTTCTGGCACTACATCAGTTTTTGTTGTTACATAAATAATAAAATATATAAACAAAATATATAAACATAACCCTACTTTCTTGAGTGCTTTGTATCTTAATAAGAGATAAATAATAATTTCTGTGTACTTTTCATTTTGAATTAAGTTGCACATTGCCTTTTTGCAGCTCAAAAAAATTGAGCTTCTGAAGTAGAGACTGTGGTACAAAAGCGCTACGAAGTGAGCAGTTGCTAGTTTAAAATGCCAAGGCAACATCCAGGGGGGAATCTGTAGCAGGTTGGCCCTGGCTGTCAGCCAAGCACCACCCAGCTGCTTGCTTCCAGCCCAGAACAACATCATTTACCAGTACTGTTGTGGGCAAAATAGATTCAGCATAGGGAATTTAATTAAAAATGTTCAGTTACTGATTTGGGTATTAGGAAGGAAACAAAGGAGGCAGGCATTTAAAGACTTTGGGAAAACACCTTTCTCCTCCCTCTTCCAGGCTCAGTTTCCTGCCAGTTACTTCTCCCCACTTCTGATCTCCACTACCCTTCTTATCACAGCTGGTTATGCTCATTTCCATTGGTGATGCAGTGGGCTGTGCAGGAGGTTGGGGTCAGGATATAGAGATGCCTTTATTGCCATGCCTTCCTTCTCACTATTTTCTTCTACTGCTTCTTGTTTGCTCAATTTTGGCATGGGTTATTCATGGGGCAGCAGATCCTTGGGGTACCTGCTCTGGCACGGTAGTACCATGGGCCACAGTTCATCCAGGGATGTTACTATGCTCACGACAGAATACCGCATGCTCCTCTGGCCCTGTTTTTTTTTTTTCCTTCTGGCATTTATTGCCATTTCTAAACACATTCTAACAGGAGCACCATAAACTCCTCTGACTGATTCTCCAACCCCAATGGGCTAAGCTGCATCTTGTGGTGAAGCTGGCTGGAAACAGCATGAGGTTACCCTTTTCTCACAAAGTCCACCCTTGTGACCCACCCACTACCAAAACCTTGTCATCTCCCTGCTATACAACATCAAAAATGGCTTAAGGACATGACAAACCATTGTGAACATCCTAAACCCAACCACAGTCTCACCTTCAGGATGCCCTGTAAAGAATGATGCAGTGCTCAGCATGGTGGAGATTTCAGGTAATTCAGCCAACCACAGAGCAGCCCCATGATATAGTCATAACTTAACCAGCCTAAACTATGCCAGGAACCAGTGTGTAGGAGCTGGGACTAGTGATAGACAGTGTGGGCTTTCAGCTGTCCTTGTTTCTTTTTGTAAAGAACATGAGTACTTCTCCGCATCTGTCTCAGACAAAGCATGTTTGGCACTTCACAAAGTAAATTGTGTTTGGGGGAAAAACTAATCAGATTATCAATCAGTGCAGACAGAGTAAATCATTTTGGGTGAACTGCCCAAACATATCCAGACTGGGGTAAATGTTTCATGGAAGCAGTTAGCATAATAGATTTTTTAGAAAGGCATGGGGTTAAAATACTACAAACAGTTGTCATACCACAGTTTAAACTGTTAATACGTAGTTGTATTTTCATGATCCTTTCTCACTTTAGAAGCATAGTTGCATTCTTAGTTTTTAAACAGTGCCCTAAAAAGACTGACTCAGGCAGCAAATCTTCAGGAGTTAACATCTTTGTATAGATCTCACATTACATCACACTGTGGAACCTTATGACAAAAAAAAAAAAAAAAAAAAAAAAAGATTTATTGTATTGTGAAATATGCAGATATTACTTTGGCAGTAGTTCTGTAAAAACTTGAAAGGTGATTTTTTCAATGCTGCTTGTAAAAAGCAAATTCATTGTCTTTGGAAGAGGTGGGTAGCTGTATTGAGAGGCACCACTGCATCAGGAAAAGAAAAGGAGCGCAGTCCACTAGTAGCAACCTTGGTAGTTCAAAAGAAAGTAAACATCATCTCACTTTCTAGGAAATATTAGAAAGTCACCATGAGGCATATTCTTTGTTTAGAAATCATAGCCTGCCTGGCTCTCCAGAAATTTTGCTCCCAAATAACCCTACATGTCTTGCTCTCATAGGTATGCTCTTGACATCTCTTGCTTTATTCTGGGTTTCTGCTCTTCTTACATACATTGGTAATCAGTTTCCCAACACCCTGGAGACCTTCTCCATCTCTCTCATCTTCTTAAATTGCATCCTATTTAGTTAGTTACTTAGTTACCATTCCCCAAAGAGGCTCTTGCTTGCTCCTTCCAGTTAGTCTGTTCAAAAGCTAGTTTGTGTCCCCTCCTAATTTTACTTGCCTGTATCACAGAGAAAACAGCTATTATCAGCATCCAAAGTACAAAATTCTGCATTTTTCTCATAAATGAACAGTGTGACTCATTGTTCATTGTCCTCACACTTACATTGGAGGAGCTGTTAGCCCTTATCTAAGTGTCGGAGCAGAATGAGGAGGATAGAACACCCATTCTTTTCACGTGTATCTTGATGCTATCACACTAACATACTGTGCTGCACATTAAGCACACCAGCTGCTGAGCTTGCTTTATCAGTTCTAATAATAATTGAGTATTTAGCTGGGAGGATGAGGGAATTAAACACAAGG